AAGATTTTATTTATTTATTTGAGAGAGAGAATGAGAGAGAGAGCACATGAGCGGGGGGAGGGTCAGAGGGAGAAGCAGACTCCCTGCCGAGCAGGGAGCCCGACGCGGGACTCGATCCCGGGACTCCGGGATCATGACCTGAGCCGGAGGCAGTCGCTCAACCAACTGAGCCACCCAGGCGCCCTCGTGGCAGCTTATTTTTTAATGGGAGTTTCGGAGGGGGCTGTGGCAGTGGGGCGGGAAGGAGAGCCCCAGGGATTGTTGAGTGTGTCACCTGCGGTCTGGCCCAGGCTCCTGGAGGGAGTGTGTTTCCCCCGCAGCCCTCCCTGCCCTCGGTCCGGCTAAGGGTGGGAAGCCCGGGGTGGGTGTTGGCGGTGCCCTGCTCCTGGAGAGGCGAGCAGCTGGTGCCATCAGACCCTGAAGGGCCTGTCCCCCGTCCTCCCGCCCCAGCCTCCGCCCCCAGTCAGCACCTCCGTTCACACGAGCCTTCCCTTTGCAGGTGAAAGAGCTCGTCCTGGACAACTGCCGGTCGATTGAAGGCAAAATCGAAGGCCTCACAGATGAATTTGAGGAACTGGAGTTCTTAAGTACAATCAACGTAGGCCTCACCTCAGTCGCAAACTTACCAAAGTTAAACAAACTTAAGAAGGTAACTAGGGTGTAGGAGTCTGTGCGGGCAGCGGGGAGGGGGTCGTTGGTCTATGCTCGGGGGGCGCGTGCACCGACTTGCCCCTCGCCTGTCTGCCGAGGCCCGGGCGCTCTGGGCCCCCGGCCTTCGTTTTAAGAGCTCTTTCTGCTTTTCCCCTCCCTGCCCTGTTTAGCTTGAACTAAGCGATAACAGAATCTCAGGGGGCCTGGAAGTATTGGCAGAAAAGTGTCCGAACCTCACGCATCTAAATTTAAGTGGCAACAAAATTAAAGACCTCAGCACAATAGAGCCACTGGTGAGTCATTTCGGTCCTTCCTCTTCACAGGGCGGGAGGTGGGAGGGCTTGGTATCAGGGAATACTACTTCTACCTTTGCAGAGTGTTGTTTTCTCTTTTCTGTTTTTGTTTTTTTTTTCCACTTCTCTTACTTCATTTGACTCTCGTTATGGGCCATGAGGTAGAGTCAGAGCTAGTTTCTGCTTGGTCCATAGATAAATGGAAGCCTCGAGATATTCAATGGCTTGAGCAAGGTCACACAGCCCGAGTGGGCAGTCGGGGACAGGGGTGGGGTCCAACCCTCGCCTCAGTGCTTCTCTTTGTACAGTTTCTGCTCAGCTTTGGGAACCCGAGCTGTCATTTCTTAGAGCATGGTTCCGTGTCCCTTATTGGGGAGGGAGGAGCCATCCGGGAATTCAGCTGCCCCTGGAGTTGGCTACTTGTTTTTTTTTTGGCCGGCCGGCCTGAGGCTGGAACCTCCGAATGGTGGGATAGCCCCCTGGATGGCACGGAATGGTATGGGATGAGAGCCTCAATGCTGGCCTTGCTCTCCTAAGAGGCACAGAGAGTGACTGACCCCTAGTCTCCAGTCCTTTGTGTGATGGTGACTGGGATCCCCTCTTCATACAGCTGAACACACCCCACACTTCATGGAGTTACTAGCCAAAACGGGGCAAGTCCTGGTCAGACAACAGTTTCTGCATTACCTGGATCTGAAGGATTGTGTTCCTCTGATTTCAGCTGTGTCATTAATAGCGTTCTTGAAATAGAGAAATACTATCGCATTAACTGTAAACATACACATAAGAACCCTCCCACAAGCCATGCACCTTAGAATCAAGGGAAGATAAAGTGAGGATATTTTGCCAACTTTGCCACATTTCCCTTGCCTAGGTTTATAGAGGAGAGGTTGGAGCATCCCCCAGTTTGGGTTTGTAGGTTCTTGTCCACAAAGCGCCCCTCACTCCCTCTGGACGCTCGAGGGGCGGGTTGATGGGCCAGGGCAGCAGAAGCAGAAGCTGGCCCTTCTTCGTTAAGCTCAGACTTCTCCCGTCTGTGGCATGGAGTCAACCACAAGATATGCTTCCCATAGATAGACCTTCTTTTCAGGTCTTCCGCCGACCTCCTAGAGCAAAGCAAAACTATTTTGATCTACCTGGAAGCCTTGATTTCATGATTTCATAGGAAAATCTTTGAAGTTCTGTATATGTGTATTTTGGGACACAGGTATGGAGACCAAGTGTGTGTGTATATAAATCATTGTGATGCGGTTACCATTAAAGGTCAGACCTAGACACATGCACACCCTGTTCTCCCTGCACAGACCACATGTGTTTTTGTAGCTTCTCCTTGGTGACCAGTGTGATTGATGCACTGGGCTCCCCTCTGTGGGATGGGAGGGTGCTGGGCTCACCCACCCAGACCACAGCCCAGACGCCCTCCCTGCCCTTGACCTGCTGAGAATGACTTCTCGCTCCTGAGATCTTGGGAGCAGCGGAACTAGTAATCTCTTCTGCCTTTTCAGTGTTGTGAGGATAAACTGAGTTACTACCGACCGTGCTGTGTTATGGCCGTCCTCCTCACCATCAGTACAGATAGACTTGGTTAGTTCGTACAGCCTTTCCCGTTCCCATCTGGCTCCCCAGTCCCAGGGGCAGCAGCAAAGCTCTCGGCTGGAGCCCCTGGGGAGCCCCAGCTTAATTTGAAGCCGGTCACTGATAGGGCCAAAGCTGCACTTGCAGACTAACTCTGTTGCCATTAGATGAGGCTTAAAAGGCCCTAGAGTCCATCCTCCGTTTCCCAGGTGAGGGAACCGAGGCCCACCCACCAGGGATGGGGCAGAGCAAAGCCGTTTCCTCCACCTGTTTCCCGGCGTTGTTCGCCCCCTCCCGTCTCCCACAGATCGCTCACTGTTGACTTCATCTTTCTGCTTGCAGAAAAAGTTAGAAAACCTCAAGAGCTTAGACCTTTTCAATTGTGAGGTAACCAACCTGAACGACTACCGAGAAAACGTGTTCAAGCTCCTCCCGCAGCTCACGTATCTCGATGGCTACGACCGGGACGACAAGGAGGCCCCTGACTCGGATGCCGAGGGCTATGTGGAGGGCCTGGATGACGATGAGGAGGATGAGGATGGTGGGTGTGGGGATGGGGGGCAGGGGCGGGCTGGGTGGTCTCCTCTTCCCACAGCTGCAGAGGGGAGGGGCTGCTTTGTTAACCACGATCCCTGATCATTCTCACTCTCACGGGGGCTCCCCAACTGCATGGTAACTCCTTAAAAGCATCTAACTGAACCCTCCCATCAGGTTTTTCCTCTTTTTCCAGAGGTCCCCCAGAATGAGGTCCTACAGTGTCTCTGTAGTATGACCCTGGACTCAATCCCGCCCCCTGCGGTGGGGGAAGGTGGGGTGTGGCCTGAGGGTCCCATTCATGTGGGTCTCCAGTAGTGGAGAGGAGGAGGGCTTGAGCTGGAGTGGGTGTGGAGCCCCCTGGTGGCTGCAGACCACGGGATCACAGGACCTGCAGGGTGTGGGAGCAGGAGCCCCCCCCCGGGGGGGGGGGCCTGGGGGGTGGAAGAGGCTTGCAGGCGGCGTGCTGGGCACCCTGGTAGTGCGGTGAGGATGAGGGTGAGCCAGCAAGGCCTACAGGGAGGAAGGAAGGAAGAAAAGAAAGGGCCACCTCCTGCTGTGCCCTTCCCATGTGCCAGCAGAGTGCGGCTTCCCTGCAAGTGTTCATGGCCACGGTCACGGTGAGAATGGAGATATTTGGCCCATTAATTCAGACACAGGATTTTTTGTCTTTCCTTGTTAGGTTGGAGTGTTTTGCAAGATACACATGCGTTCGCCCTAGTTTGTCCCATCTTGGGGTACAACAGGAAAGGCCCAGGACTGGCATCCTGAGCCCAGGTTTCTAGGCCCACCTCCGTGGCTAACTTGATGTGTGACCTTGAACAAGTCACTTCCCTCAAGGACTCAGATTTTCACCTTTAAAGCCAGGAGTTTGGCTAGATGCTCTTTCCAAGGGAATCAGCGTCTTGGCTTTTGTAAGCCCTGTGACTTGTTCCTTTGATCCAGCAATTTCTCTGTGGTCTCAGCCTCCACACGGGATCTCTGTTTTTGTAAAACTTGGGAGGAGGGCTTGTCTTTTGGATGACTTTCAGATGTGTTGAGTCACACTGGAGCGTCTAGGCTATGGGCCCGGGTGGGTGTGAGCGGGTCCTGGGCCCCCCCGAAGACTGTACCACCTGCCAGGCCCACAAGCCTGGGTTTGTGCCGTGAGGGAGGCCAGCTCACCACCAGTCCCCTTGTCCCCATTTCTGCGGCACAGAGGAAGAGTATGACGAAGATGCTCAGGTAGTGGAAGATGAGGAAGATGAAGAGGAAGAGGAGGAAGGAGAAGAGGAGGATGTGAGTGGAGAAGAGGAGGTAAGGGGCCGGGCAGCACAGGGGCACTCTCTCCGGGGTGGGGGGGTCCCCCTTACTTGCTGCCTTTTCGCATTCGTATGTTAATTCAGGTATTTACTGAGCACTTGGAGTCATTTGAGGGAAAACCAAAGACTGCTTTGAACCAGTGGGTGGTAGGATAAGACACCGCCGGGCGCCACATCAGAGTGACGGGTGCCTAGGGTCCCTAGCACATGTGGGAATACTGCTGTTATCCTGATGGCTTGCTCCCAGTTTCTTAACAAGGCCTCTGCGTGTCTGTGAGGGTTAATACAGCACAGTCTGGGGGGCGGGGGGTGCAGCCACTTGCTGGGTGTGTGTCCCTGGACAAGTGCCTTAACCTTTCTGAACCTATTTCTTCATCTGTAAAATAGGTATTGTTTTGCATCTGGGTTGTTAATAGGGATCGACTCAGTGAATTCTTAAGAGAATATAATGATTTGTAAGTAATAATTTGAGGACAGTGTTTGACCACCTACTATTTTAGGCTTCTACACCCTTCAAGGTTCTTGGCTCTGTGTGCTAGGTTTTGTGTTTGGATGTTCGGAGTCTCTCTGTAGCAGTCATGTCCATGACTTGTTCGGAATTCTAAGTCAGCTCTTCCTAATTACAAAAGTTAGACCTGGAGAGGCTTAAAATGACAACAGCATGGACAGGTACCTGCCTTCCCCCGATTTCCTGTCTCTATCCGTTGAGAGTGCAGACACCTGCCTGCCACACAGACCCACTTGGGCAGGATCTCCGGGCCACCCCACGCTTGGGAGAGTCGGGTCAAGGCGAACAGAAAAAAGCCAGTGCGATCAGCCTGGTTCCTGTCTCATTCAGCTGCTGGGTTTCCCTTCTCCCTAGGTGTGGGCCACTAGGCTCAGCTCTAAAAAATATCGCGAGTATTTTAAAAATAAAGACTTAGAAAAACAGGTCCCTCCCAGGACAGGGCGGTAGGGCTGGTTGGCTAATGGATTTTTTGTCTTGCACTTACTGTCACGGGAGCCACAGCGTGCAGGGCTTTTTTGTTT